GCATTGTTGAAAGACCCTGCTTGTGTAACTAAATATTGATTTCTGCAAATCAATCAGTTCACAGGAACAACTTTTATCCTACTGTCAAATCTGAATGTGCTTTCCAGGGGAAAACCTACTAATAGATCATGTGAAAAGAGATTAGAAGTCACCTTAATTCTTTTTCTTTCTTTTTTTTGGGTGAATTTGCACAAATGACTCATGCCAGCAATGAGAGTTATATGTACGTCAGAAGAAAAGACTTTTGTTATCTTCTTAAAGGAGGGTGTATTTTATGTGGTCAGAATACTGTAATAAATATGTATGAATGTGCATGACTGTCATGTGACTTGAATTCCATGGTGCACCTGCCAAAAAACACAGTTGTGTGTTAAGTCACCTACAAAATAACCCACACTTGACCATGTGACATTTACCCCCTCTGAGTATTTATAGACACGAGTTCCGCCTCTCTCAAGGCAGTGGTAAATGATTAACATCAGTAAACGTAAACCTGCTGTTAGCCATCATATCTGCCGGGGTTATGAAGTGGCCTGTGAGGATTGCAGAATGTTTATTGTTATTATCACGTGTTTTGTCCAGGAGAAGCCAAATGACCAGAATTGCCTCCCTGTCGAGTGATTTGTTCGAAACTCTTTCCAAATCAGCAGAGAAAGAATGAAGTTGCTTCATGTATTTAACCTGTCCACTTTGGAAAACATGTACAATATTCCACACTCACAGAGCCCTGAAAAGTCTGCTTCCTGAAATCATGTGTTTGGGGTTAGTAATGCATGGTACGTGTTGTGTGTGGGTAGGGGGCCTGGCATGCTTCCAGAAATGGCAGACTGGTACGTGAGGCCCGTGGCTGCTCGTGCTGTCTCTGTGACACCAGTTAAATTTAGCCCCTGACTGAGCTAGTAGCACCAACAGCTGTCATTTAAGCAGGAGAAAGTCTAGCTTTTCTAGAAGGCTCCATCTGGAAGGAGAAGACAGTGGGTGGCAACACTGGACTCAAGCGTACACTGGCTAGCTGTGTGAATAGGGTCAGGAACTGAAGTTGTATTCAAACTGTCATACAGACCATGCGTACTTAGGTCATACATGTTTTTTGTGTCTAATTTCATTAGGCTCTTAAAGTCAGGTGGAGCGACCACCATATACACAGATTAAGTAAACTATTACAGTCATTTATTCATTTACAATTTGAAATAGTTTGACATGGTTTTATATTTAAAATCTTCGAGATCATAATGTTGACAAAAGGACAGCTTTCAATGTACTTATCATAGATTCTGATAACTCAGATGTCATACAGCACAACCAGCAACAAAGAACTTTTATTCTGGCATGCTTTTAAGACCGAATAGGCTGGGTATTGCACCATAAAGATTTCAAGTGACCTTTATGGTGCAAGGCCAAGGTCAGTAGCCATTTCACAAGTATTGAACAAATGTCATTTTTGAGTCATGAATAGGCTGGTTCAGTTTACCAAGTCAGATGGTTTGACCTCAGGATGACCGTGGACATGTGTTATTATTATTAAAAAAGTTTATTTATTAGAAAGAATTTATATACAAGCTTGTTGAAAGACAATGACTAGTTTATACATATTTTTAGTCAAAGATAACTTTAAATTATACTATTTTCTATTGATGTCTGGTTGTGCCACCTGACGTTTTCTGAGTGGTAAAATTGATGATGCTGTTTAAAAATGATTTCATAACATTAGAAATGCTATGAAACAAATTTCAGTATTTTGATTGAACAAATTTCAGTACATTTGATTTTCAAGAATACAAAATGCAGATCATATCCCTTTTAATAAGAAATTTTGCCTGATTTGTCAATGACCCACTTATATTTGCACATCTGCACTACAAAAGTAACAGTAGATGATGCATCTTGATCCACTTTCACACTCTATTGCTTTGAATTCCAAATCCATATGTTAATACTGATTTTTTTTTCCATTCCGTAAACAGTCAAAGCTGAAACATAGTTCTTCAAAATGCTCAGGTCAGATTAGACCCTGCCTTAATCAGATAGGCGCTCTCAGTAACAGCAGGAGCGAAGAGAAAACATCAGTGAAAAACAAGCAGCATAAACACACATTAATCTAAATGCACCCTCTCTCCTGCATGTGATAAGCCTGCATGTGACGTCTTGTGTCATGCTGGAAGGATGCGGAGCAGATCAGGGCCGTCACATGAGTGTGTTTCTGAGCGGCGGCGGAACACCCCTGCGGCCCTCTTCCCTAAAAACACAGCGGAAAACATGAGCCACTTTTTTTTTTTTCATTTGACTCAGCGTTCCTGCCTAATCTGATAAATGGCAGCAGAAAGCGGTGAAGGCCTACTGCTTATCCAATCAGGGAAGGTCGAGGAAAGCTGTCCAATGTTCTGGCGGGACACTCTTCTGTCCCAGAGGGGGCCTGGGGGAATTTCACAGAGCAGGATTTCTCACTTAAACAGATAACTTAAGCTGAAAGTTAAGTCTGTTTAATAGGAGGAGAGGTATGGGACATTGCTATAGGGCAGTTCACAAACTTGTCCGGCTTTCTGGAATGCCCCTAGGAAGTGGAGGGGTCCAAGCACTCAGTTCGTCCTGGAAATGTCTACCCATGCTCCTCCCTCCAATATGTTATCAATAATTACATTGAGTTAATGTCAAGGTCAGTTACACTGTTAGGATAGGTCCAATGTAGTGTTTTATTTTTCATGTAATCAAGCTAATGTTAGCATAGTTAGCCTGTCACAATTATTTGAGCTGACTTTAGTTATTTTCCACAGCTGTGAACTTTCACAATCATGTTTATTTCACAACAAACAGAATGTAATTGGGTGTGTTTTCATCACTTGGTTTAAGGCAACAAGAAAAGAAAGCAGAAAATGTATTAATTGAGATGTCTGAATCTAAAAACAGCTCAAGCTTCTGATTTGGTGCTACAACACGTAGAGGGCAGGAGTTGAGTTTGAGCGGTGTCTATTGTCAGTTGGGAGCTCCTAAGTTTCCACAGCTAAGCTTATCAGACAATTTGGCCATATTAGGCTAATACTTTAAAGCAACACTATGTAGGATTTTGGGATTTGGAAATATGTAATTGCATGCAATGTGCAGAAAAGCATTTTGTACTGTTGGTTGTGCTTCGGACTCCCACGAGCGGATGAATCTGACTTTTACAAGTGCGTTGAAAGAGTATTTGAAGAGAACTCAGTCAAAACTTGGTGAAAGATGTGTCTTTAGAGGATGTGAGTGAATGATATACTCAGTAATGCTATTTCAGTTTCAACAAAAGATATAGTGCTACTTTAATAGACAAAAAACAACAAATTGTTGATCGCAATTATTCATATGGCAATTAATTGTCAGCCAAAATGTAAAGGTTATGACAGGCCTACATCGTGGCAAATTTGTCACTGTTGTTTCCAAACTGCCTAGTTATAACTTCACAGTGCAGCTCCAGTTTGAAATTGGAAACTCAGTGTTTCTTAGTAGGTTGAATGGGCTTTTGGCCAACATTAAATAAACTTTAAGGATATCTGAACTCTTCTACAATATGTGGTAATGATTTACAAAAGGGCAGCATTCGTAATGCAACATGACACCAACATATTCATTTTTTGGACCACTGACATAAACCTACATTAACATTTACAAATGCTTATTCCAGCAATTGTGATTCATTTCACCAGAGGACGTTATGTCATATAGCCTTTTAAATGCTACCCTTCAGTAAAGAGTACCACATCTAAATAAATAAGTAAACATGAATATTGCCTTGCATTGCCTTGCTGTGTTCTTATACATCCAAAGTCTAAATCTGCAACACATGCATACTGGCCTATCTTTTATGAACTGTCTGAGGAATCCAGCTATTTTAGGAGACAAGCATCTAGATGGTGAGGGAAAGACTTACGTAAATGTCTTTTATTAGAAAAAAAGCTAGAAGGAAAGATGACTCATAGATGAATTTAAGGGCGTTTTTTTTTCTTACCCAAGCACCCTTTCTGAACGCTAATTTCTAAGTGTCTGTCTAAAGAGTTGAGGCCATTTAAAAGCTTCAAACAGACTCTTAGAGCTTATTCTGCAGGAAAAGCCCCTGTGTTCAGACAGTCCAATGGAATAAACACTTTAATCCAGGCATACAATTTTACCAAGTATCACACATCCAACAAAGCCTAGACTTAGGTTCATTTTAACCTGCTAAACCTGCATTTGTGCGTTTTATGTTCTAGAAGCAGAAATGACTGACTCAGTCTCAGTTTGCTAATGTTCCTGCATTGCCCCGCTGCCTGTTCCAGTACCCCCTCTGACCCCCCCATCCCTCTGCACACTCACGGTGGTGGCTGCTGTTTACTGCCTGTGAGTCAAGGCTTCTAACCACAAGCCTGGCCAGTACTTTTACTGGACATACCTTACGCCCCTGACTGCTGGCTGTCTGTGCATGTTGTCCATTACTATTTCTGTTAGTAATGGTCAGAATAACAAAAAGAGAGAAGCAGTAACCTGATATATTACTGTGTTATTATGATTATCGTTTGTTGACTTAAACAACATTACTAGTTAATGGTGCTTTCTTCTTCTTAATTATCAATGTATTTATCATTATTGGGGTATTTTGAAAAAAAATATCACAACAAGCAAAATAATAGGCAACAAAACTGAATCTCTACACTAATGAATATGTATGATACTATTATTATTGTTAATAATATTATGTTTTTTAATACTGACATATGAAGCATGTGATATCAAATGAGAAGTGTAATTGTAGGCAAATCCAGTTTTACGCTGGATTGCTGTGTGTTAGCTAAAATCTCCTGATGTTGGTTCCCACGTGTCTGACCACATTTGTGTGCATTTGTCCAGCACAAAAAATGATAAAATGAGAATGCATCATGAGTCTCATACACACACACACACACACACACATGCAAATTAGTCAGACAAGTATCAGCGTAACAGTGTTATATTGACCGAAACGCAACATGGCAAAACCACATATAAAACAACATAAATGTGCTACGAGTTGGAAATGCTTTTATCTTCTCTAGGTTACACACAATAATATGGAGACTCAATCAACCTGGTTACAGTGTTATTTAACATATCTTTAGAAAAAGTGAACTGATTCAAATGTTAGGTATAAAATTCTTAGCAGTGCTTTTCGCTGAGAGGTTAACAGTGGTGATTTGTCATTTGACTGTGCTAACTCTTAAGGCCATCAGTATAATAAAAATCCAATGCAAACAGATACTACAGTAGAGCAAATACATAACTCTCTCAGAATTAATGCTCTCTTATAGCATCTCAAATTCAGTTCAATAGATAAAAATATCCTCCTTGGCACTAAAATGCACTGGCAAAGGCAAGAACAGATTTACATTAGTGGAAATGTCCAGAAGCCAGTGTAGAAAAATACAACAGCTCTAAAAAGGGACTGTATCATTTGCCACAACAGTACAGTGTGCCAATAGCACTCTAAGCAAGATGCTTGTAGGTATACCCTCCCACCACCACCACCACCACACACGCACATTTACAGTACACATCAGGCACACACACACACATTGCTCAGAAAGGGCAAGTTCTGACCTTTCCCTCAACACACCCTCACCCACTCCACACATTTCCTCCCCAGGAGAATTTTCTTCCTCTTCTTCTTCTCATTCCTTCTCCCAGTTCTTGGCCCTCGGTCCTGCCCCTAAACCTTCTGCCAGTGCTGGCTGGTGGGGGACCCCATCTGCAGCCCCACGAAGAACATCTGGTAGCGGTGCTTCCACATGATGAAGGCCCCCAGCATGCAGACGATGGCCTGGGCCAGGTTCAGCACCATCTGCAGCAGGTAGTACAGCATGAGCGTGCTCATGACAGCCAAGCAGTTGCTCACCTCGGTGTAGGTGAAGGTGCGGGCGATGGGGTCTTCAGGCTCCAGTGTGCACACACAGTTCTCACCCATCTCCTTGCACGTGAAGCCGTTGGTCAGGGAGTAGTGGTGGCCCTGGAAGGCGATGACCAGGATAGAGATGACCACCCCCACTGAACACAGGAGGAAGTAGAGAAGCTGAAGCGAGGGAAGAAGGGACAGTTATCCAACAGAGCACCAGTGGCAGGTGTAGCGGTTTTGAAAACAGCCATGGGTCCATGAGTCAGTTCCTCACTTCCATAACTACATAACTTACATATTAATTTTACAGTAGTCAATAGCAGTTTATGAATAAGAAATATTAAATTGATAGTTTGAATACTTATCCAAAAGGTAGTTGATTAGCCAAGACGCTTCGTTTCTGAAGTTTCTTTAGTTTTGCAATGCAGCCATGAGGGTAATAATAGAATAAGACTACCATTATGGTCTAAAGTTAGTTTATTAATTGGTATCAATTAGGTCACACATACCTTAAAAATTATTAGTAAGGAATAAGTTCCAAGGCATACATAGACAGGGCAACAATGAGTGTGTTTACATGTACCCATTAATCCGATAATAATTGGATTTCTGCAGTTATCTGATTGTTAAAACGGTCTTGTAAACAGCATAGTCCGATTTCTTAGATCAGAGGTCTAGCAATCTGATTAAGAAATTCCATAAAGGGTGTGTTTACATGCACTTACTAATCTGCTACTTGTTTATTTTTGGTATCTATTTTTGTGCATGCGCAGACTGAGAAATCCAAAAAAAATCAGAGTAAGAGTATAAATGTGCTGAGAAATCCAAGTACTGAGCTAAAATCCCCCCCTCTCTCTGAAGTTCTGCAGTTATTGGATTCTTAAGTGCATGTAACCACAATCAGTGACCTGTTGTTTGTCTAAGTGAACATTCTATGCTGTTAAACTTAGATCTTGTTACTTATCTACTTTGTCTTCTCAGCATTAGACCTGTCAGCTTCAGCAGGTTTATTTATTAGATACAACAGCTCAGTTGTCCTATTTATTAATGTGTTATAACTGTTTATTAATGACTCTTAATGTGTTTATAACTAATTAGTAACATTAATAAATCATTTTTAAACTCACTTTTAAACTTTTTAAACTGCATCAAGCTGTTAAATAATCTCAAATACACGTGTTTATGTTCTTATTAAATACTGTAATGTATAAAAATAGATAAAATGGTCAGTCAAAGGTTTTGACACCTCTGATTATGTTTTCTATTATCCTACAGACATTTTGGTTCACAGGCTTACACCTAAATGTTTGAAAAGATGTTGCTTAAACAAAATGAAACTTTTCAATTATTTTCTTTTTTTAATGCCCCTGAAAAAGTAGTTTTCGGTAGCCAGTAACATCTCAGCATATGTGGATCTCCTTCAACTCTGCTTGATCATTTTGATTTTGTGGTCACAGCATAACTCTATACATGTAATGTCATACTTTTGATATTGTTTTCCTTAAAAGGGCAAACAGTAGGCTAAAAATAAGGAAACTTCTATGAGTAGGTGTGTCTAAACCAGTGGTGCAACTCCAGTCCTGGAGGGCCGGTGTCCAGCACAGTTTGGTGATTTACCTGCTCCAAGACACCCGATTACACCTATCTGTTAATTGCCAGGTTTTGTGGGTGTGTTTGAGCTGGGAAACCTCCATACTGTGCTGGACACCAGCCCTTCAAGACCAGAGTTGTGCACCCCTGGTCTAAACTATTGACTGGCATTTACCACGTTGGGCAAATTACACTTTCAGCCAAACTGGCACCTTAATATTAATAAATTAATAATAAGCATGCAGTTAAAGGGGTTAAACTAGAATGACTTGGGCACTGGAAATACATTGATGATCTTCAACCTGGCCAAAAATTTGAGCCTTGTTGTTAGGTTACCACCTTTAATTTAGTGTCACTGTTAATGTGCAAGTGATTTGCATAATTATACATTTTACACATTCTCTTTCTCACCTTTATGATGAACTGCATGGAGGTTCTCTCATCAGGCAGGTAAGTGATACAGTCAAGGACAAATCCCACTATAGACACCACACACATCTGCAACACAGCACACAGAGAAATGCTTTAATACAATCCTTCAACCCTCCTATTATCTTTGGTCAATTTGACTCCATTCAATATTCAACATTCAACATATCTAAATAAATTACTGACATCATTTTTTGGCTTTATATTTAACAACTTTACCTAATTTAATGTGGACAACTGTGTAAACATAAAATTAACATGATGATATGTTTTTAATGTACACATTTTGTACGCATCAGCATTCTTGGGGGTCAGTTTGACCCCAGGCTGTTTTAGCAGTACAAAACATAAGAATCATTAACATTTTATACACATTTGTTTTGGTTATTTTGGATGATATTAAAGTCACTATAACATGCTATTTTATAGTCTTTAAAAAACTTTCCTCTGCTTTAGAGCCCTAACCTGACCACACCTGTATTAGTGCAAGAACCACAGATAGTTCACACCACATGAGGGAGGGGAAAACATAATTCCCACCAGAACTTTGATTTCCTGGAGGTTTAAAATGCAGGGGGTCAAATTGAACCCAATGATAAAACGTGTTAATAAATTTGAAGATAACAGGAGGATTAAACAAATTACACCAAGTTCTTGACCCAGTTCTATGAGTTTGGTCTTTCTGTACAATCTTAACTATCACGTGCGTCCCACAATCAGATGCTGATAAATGTTGCCATTGTATCTCATGTTATAAACACACACCATCTATTGGATTGGCCTAATCTCATTTTCAGGCCTCTAAGACAGTCTCTTCATTTCTCCACTTCTGCCAGGCTGACCATGATTGCTGTAATCAGCATTGTGCAACTCAGCACTGAGTTGTCATCTGATAGTATAATCACTGCCTTTGCCAAATTGAATAGGTTTTTTCCCCCCCAAAGATAACACTCAGTTTCTCAGTGCGACTGGAATCTTGTGACTAACGTGCAGTATCTAATTTGATTGTTTTTCCCAGGTTCTTAAGCAGAGAAATCTTGATGACCTCAGTGTTTTTCTCTAGCAGTGGTCTCGTGAGGCCTGAACTCGGGATATGGCTTTGTCCAGAGACTCTCTGATGATGTGTATGATGTGGAGGGGGGCAGGGTATTTGAACTCTCATAAAAAGTCTTGCTTTAATGTAACTGGCATTTTTACCACCTCACATGACAAAACAATAAAAGTATAGCTGAAACACTGCAGTGATGTTAGAAAATAACTGCAAAATGGCAAAACCGTCCAACAGGCAACTTTGCACGCTCTTGTACAAAGTCTCTGTTCGGGCCTTTGAATCTGATTAAAAGCACACCATAAAGGTGTGAAATAATCAATATCATGCAGTTTAGAACAGCAAACATAGATTACTTTTACTTTATTACACAGTATACGCACCACATTGTATTCTGTATGCCTCACCAAAACAAAGAGAATCACGTAGGGTCAACAGGGCTTTGAAATGTACAAATCTAGAACTATCATTTGGAGAAAGCCAGTGGCATTGAGCCTCTTTCTGCCTTATCTAAGAGATAAGATATAATGCCATACAAGTCTGATCTGACGCAGCTGAGAATGGGCAATATAATCACAATGATATGCTACAATAAAACAATAACGTCACAATATACAACACATCTCAAATAAATGCATATAAAACATTTCTAAAGCAGGTCAGACATGGCATCTGCTTTAAGTACGTTTTAGCATTTGAAATTACACTACGTGGCCAAAAGCGTCCAGACACCCCTTCTAATTAGTGAACTCAGCCACTTTAAGGTGCACCCTTTACTGACACAGCCATTCAATTGAGCACACAGTTTGTATAATCTCTGTAGACAAGCCTTGCCAATAGATTGGGATGCTCTGGAGCAGCCACACATGAGCCTAAGCTCACCATGCTCCCAAATCCCCCTGCCCAGTACTGGGCTGTGGAACAGTGGAACTTTGTTCTCCGGAGTGATGGAGCTCCATCCTATGCCTTTGGGATGAGCTGGACTGGAGGTTGTGATCCAGAACTAATTATCCAACATCAGTACCTGACCTCACTGATGCTCTTGTGGACAAATGCAATCAAATTCTTACAATGCTCCAATTCCTAGTGTAAAGCCTTAACAGAAGAAGAGGCTCTTACTGCAGCAAAGAGGGAACAAACTCCCTATTAATATTCTTGATTTCAGAAGGAATGTTGGATGAGCAGGTGTCTACAAACCTTTGGACATATAATGTATTCTTATAAGATTGCATAAACACTAATGACCATCTCCTTTCAGAGGTTTTCTCCATGCCTGAGTTCAGCTTTTTTTTTTTAAACAAGAAGCTTCTGTATTGAATCTTCTGTACTATATCTTGATATATCAGGATTTTTCCTTGGGCAACAGTAAATGGTTCTGTTTAACTACTATAGCTTTGGCCCAATAAAAATAATTAGGGTGGGGTCTAGGTAGAACAGTATGGAGCAGTTATCTGTATATAGATCCTCAATTATGGTAATAATAGTAATTGTCCATTGAAAAACAACTTTAATCTACAACTACACTGTGAAAAATGAAATCACCAGACAGAGTCTCTGGAGCAATGGCTCAGAATAACTAAAGAGTTTACCAAAAGTGGTTCTTCTAGGGCATCACTCCAAAGAACCCTTTTAGTACTTTTATTTTTAAAGGTGTAGGCTTAAGAATGGTCTGAAAGCACAGATGAACATAATGGTCCATAACGATTATTTCTATAGAACAACAACCAAGGTTCCAATTATTCAAAAGAACCTTGAGACTGTGAGCAAACGACCGGTGTATAAATTGTGTATAAACAGTAGTACTGAATATTCTGCTTCAGTGAAGTGTATAGAACCACTCAGCCATGTAATACATGCACACAGAGACAGCATAACATTATATGAGGCTCCATTACAGCTGCAGTGAGATGCATGTGGGCTGCATGGCAGCGTGTTTACTGACTTTGTGATGTGGGCTGATACGGTGGCCTCATGCTTGGCCCAGGCAGTGGGAAAGGCATGCTGGGAGCTGAGGAAGAGGATGGCGACGAGCGAGAGGAAAGAGGTCACTGAGATGCTTACGATGATGCCGGCCCAGTGAGGCGTCTCCCTGGCCAGCAGAGAGGGGCTGATGGTGGCCATGAGGAAGGCCACGACGGCCGTGGAGATGCCCAGCAGCAGCTGCAGCAGGGCGATGAGCAGTGGGAAGCGGCAACCGCAGCACGTATGGCCGTCCTCCGGCCTGGCCTGCCTCTCTCCTCCACCGGACCCTGCTGGACTCTTCTCTGACCCCATACTTCCTCCTGACCTCCACCCCTGGACTTACTCTTCCTCTAAAAGGTCAACTGGGGGCTTTTCTCTGTTTTTGCTTGTCCTCTCCTTCCTCTTCTCGCGTTTTCTTCTGCTCTCTTTCGCCTGACTGCCCTTCCACTGTGCTGCCTGCCACCCCCTCTGCCCTGCCCTTCCCTTCTTTCCCCTTCTCCTCCCCTCCCTGCCCTGCTAGTGGCTCTTCTCTGAGCAAAGCCCTGCTATTTGGAATCAGAGAGGGCTCTGAACTAATATGGAAAACATTTGGAGCAGAGCTGCCTGAGAGCCACATATAGAGTAGAACGCAGCGGAGGAGAGGAAACGGAGGGAGGGAGTGAGAGAGGAGGGAAGACCGAGAAAGGGGGACTCCAACACACGACCAGAACAACAATAACAGCCACCAGCAAACTTGGCTGGGAAAAAGCATCTTACACAGAATGAGGAAGAAGTGCAGTGAGTGGGGATAAAGGCTGCCAGTGACACTGTCAGACATGTGGGTGAATGCATGCCAAGTGCTGCCACACACATACTGTGCGATCTCTTTATAACAACCCTGGAGCTGTCACATGATTCCCATGGAGAAGTAATGTGACCTACAGGCATGTGAGAGGGTTACAGCTAATCCCTTATAAATATTATTCTAATGTGCTCATAGACTGAGTGTGGTACTTTTTATACACACTATATACATAACATTTATATAAATTCATTAAATATATACTGTCACTGTTGGGATATTATTGGAAAACACCAGTTGTCCTGTACATTGAATTCAATTTTCATGATAATAGAAATGATAAAAAAAAAAGTTGGAAAAAGCTTAAAACATTATAAAGTTAGGAATGTTTTTTCCTAAATATATGTTTTTCTGGTAGTAACAATATATAGAATCTTTACATATGTATATTATTTTCTTCAGTTAACTGGTCATCAGAAATAGTTAAACAAATTACATTAACTAAAAAATAAAAACATGATCAATTTCATCGGCTTATTTTGTTTTTTTTTGTTTTTTTTTGTTTTTTGTTTTTATTGTGCCTTACCTTGTTAGCATTGATGAATGTTGTACTTGTTACTGTTCTTTGTCCTGGAAATCACTTTTCAAAAACAATGACTGGTCAGCTATACCCGTACCTCTGTTAGCTTGAGATTTAATATGTTTAACTAAAGCTAACTTTCATTGTCACTAATTATGAATAAAGATCAGACTTAGTAAAACAAAATTGAGTCTCCATGACACTGAGCCAATATAAATAGGCCTAATAATGCACCAAATGTGTACTTTAGCTACATGATAAAGAGGTATGCACATTTCATATCATTAAGTGAACTTGATATTATGCATGCTGTGTATGTCACTTTCAAACCCCCTTCATGTCATATTCTTTCAAATGGGGTGCCATGCTCCATTCACATATTATAATGTAAGATAATGAATGTAGTTGTGTTAAAATAGACTATGACTAAGACTAACAAAAGAACAACATCCAGTAAAATCGCCCAAGCTGGATTAACACCCACAGTGTTAGTCTGAATCTTTTAACTCGGCAGGAGAACAATTAGGTTTATTCTCTTGAATCTCCCTACACTCTTAGCAAAAAAGGGTATATGACATAACGGTGCAGTCCCTGCAACAGTTTTCCACCCTTAAGAACTATTTAATCTTGAAATGAACCACGACTAGTGACAGTAATTACAGTTCTACATATAACAAATTCATTTACTAAAGAACTCTTGAAGAACCACTTTTTAAGGATGTGTTCTCAACTTCTACTGGGCTCCTGAGGTTCTCCACCTGATACTGAGAGAAAACAAGGATGCGACAATGACTCAGTGGAAGTGTCATATATATGAGAACTAACTATGCATGTACTAAATAATGAATGCTAAACAGTGTCACTGATACTGTCCCCAAATAACACAGAGCTGTTCATAAACCAACTCTGCATCCTTACAGTAGAACGCTGTAGACGTTTCGTAACACTCATTACGTAAATGAGCGAAACGTGTAGGCATGTATTTGCATAAATGAAACAAAAACAGCCCGACTTCATGCTAGCGTTGCTGGAACAGACTATTAATATGACGTCACATAAAAAAGGGGAAAAAGGCTCATTCAGGCTCTGAGGGAGAGCGAGATCCGGAGGAGGCTGCTTTAGAAATCTGAGCTCTGTCCATTAGACACGCGCTGCTGTGTGTTTATGAGTTACAGCAGGAGCTCTCCGCTCTCTCGTGCTCCTTCACTCCGTCGCTCTCAGGCTCACGCACGGCGCGCGTGACGCTGCACTTTTGCACGAAACCGCCACGTAAAGTTTTAGTGCGCGCGCAGCGTCTCGCTCCGCGCACGTGTCACAGCACGCAGCGCGAGGATCCAGGAGAAGGCGAGCGAGTGCACGAGCGGGCTGGACTGTTTACCAGACGGTCTTTTTGTTTGTTTCCGTTCACAATAGCATATTTATTCTCCTCAAGACTGCGGTCGGTAGAGGCTGCCTGCTAGCGCGTTTAAGTTTTCGTTAGTGTCTAAAGTTACAATGACCCCGCCTCCTCCGCAGCCCCCCCCCACCCCCCGATGTCTGACCCGTTCGCAGTGTGCAGTCAGGAATAGCGACTGTTTCTGTCTATGACGACGGCTCGTAATATCTCCTTCATTAGCGGACCGCACGGTGCAGCCTACACGTGAGCTTTTCGGAGCTGATGCGCCGCGAGCGGCCGCGCGCGTGCGCTCTACTTCCTCTCACGCAGCGCTCGGCGAAGCGTCGTGGGGTTTGGACTTCAGGGCCCACCCGCATTCATGCAAGCCCCACCCTCCAGTGTTAGGATTGGCTGGTAGTTCATTTTTATGACTTACGGCATTTCCCACCCGTATTCACTATTTTATATACACCCGTATTTGGGCACATCCCGCCCTCGCGCACCACGATTGGTTAGGAATCCTGCGGAGAACGGCTTTAGAGTTTTAACGACTAGCCAATCCTAGACCAGGAGGTGAGCTGCTACTAGCCAATCATAGTGGCGATGGGCGGGGCTTGTCTGAATACGAGTGGGAAACAAACGAAAAAAAAAAATAACGCCTCGGCAAAGTGGCAGCTGAGCTCAGGCGAGTGCAGGCATCAGTCTGAAAGTGCTGCACTGCTGCACATAACCTACACAACGCTCCCTCATCACTTTCACTCTCGGATTACAAAAAAAAAAGTCCCGAAGAACACATTTGGCAGAAAAGGAGTGGATGAAAGAAGGGTGAAAAGTTATGGACGAAAGAATAGCGCGACTACAGGACAGACAGTTCCTGGATCATGCAGATTTCTTGGGGTAATGGCTGTTTTTATGAGCGTTAACTGACACTTTTGTTTACAGCTGTGTGTTTGCCTAATGAATGAGTTTACTCCTGAAGAACTTAGAGGTTCTGGTTTGTTTTTTTTTTAGGGTCGAGTATTCGTCCCTCTACATGTGCAAATCAAAAAGAGGCATGAAACGAGAGGAAGGAAAGGTAAGAACTCCTTTTTGGCCAGGTGGAGACGTTTACGCCAGTTTATCCTGTTTACAGTTTTCAGTTTTAAACTTAACGTCGGCTAAGTGACATTTCTAGAACTTTCTGCTGTCAGTATTTTTTCTAATATCCCTTTTTTCCAAAACGCAGGACGCTTACAAGTTACCCCACAGACTGATAGAGAAGAAGAGGAGGGACAGAATTAATGAATGTATCGGACAGCTGAAGGACTTATTACCCGAACATCTCAAGCTGACGGTAGGCTACACATAAACACGACTTCAGTGGCTGTGTACAAACTTGTCTGCTGCTGTGGGACTGACATATAAACACCTATGAAGGAATACTTGGAGTAACGCTTATAAAAGTTTTCTCTCCGATGTTCTCGTAGACGCTGGGTCACCTGGAGAAAGCAGTTGTTCTGGAGTTGACCCTGAAACACCTCAACGCTTTGACGGCGGTGACGGAGCAGCAGCACCAGAAGATACTCGCTCTGCAAAACGGTAAATGATTAGAAACAACCGGGAATCAGAGCAGCTCAGCCAAACACATAGTGCTAAATGAACGCCAGCAGAGTTTATGAGACCAGCTGGACCTGAATGAACACTAAGGAACAGTTTCCCGGATCATGATTAGGCTTAATCCTAGACTTTTATACAGTACATTGGCCAGACTAGGCACTAGGCTTAAACTGTGCTACTCTTAGAGTTACTTAAGACACTCAGAATAGACACTCAGTGACGCTTCGCGTTCAGGTCTAAAGTTGTTCTGTGCTTGCTATGAAGTGAATAAACCCGCACTAATGTTATTCTCTCTCTCTCTCTCTCTCTCTCTCTCGCTCTGTTAGGTGACCGGTCGCTGAAGTCCTCTCTCCAGGCTGATCTGGACGCTTTCCACTCGGGCTTCCAGGCGTGCGCCAGAGAGGTGGTGCAGTACCTCAGTAAAGTGGAGAAGTGGACTAGCCGCGAGCAGCGCTGCACTCAGCTCGTGGACCACCTGCACAAAGTGTCCGCGCAGCTCCTCCAGCACCCGCTGGCTAGCGGCGACGGCCACGAGCGGGAGCGCGAGGGACACCCCGCCAAAGACGGCCACGCCAACTGCGTGCCCGTCATTCAGAGGACTCAGCACCCGGAGCTGAACGAGAACGACACGGACACCGACAGCGGCTACGGCGGCGAGGCGGAAAAGAGCGACGGGCGGCCGGAGAGAGCGAGCGACGCCGGAGCCGTGAAGGGACGTAAAATCAAGCAGGAGTTCGAGAGCGATGAGCAGCGGCCGGCCAAAAAGCCCAAACTGAACTGGGCCGCAGGGGGCGCCGCGGGCACGGACGCAGCCAGCCGGCCGGAAATGGCTTTTATGAACTCGCTGATGGCGGGAATGGCAGGCGTGGGGCAACAGGCCCCCTTCTGCATGCCCTTTTACTTCATCAACCCGTCTGCGGCGGCCTCCTACGTGCCCTTTTTGGACAAGAGCCACGTGGAGAAGCTGGTTTACCCGCTGGCCGCGCCTTTCCCCTGGCTCTACCCGGGGCTGCCCGCTGCAGCGGCCGCGTTTAACTCCAAGAGCTTCGACGCTCTTTCCAAGGATGGAGACTCTTCTCCTCCTCCTCCTGCCGTCGCTCATGATGACCTGGAGAACCGAGCAGAGGCTTCCTCCCCAGCGGTCGGGGAGCATGGCTCAGAAATGATGGAAAACACTGGAGAGCAGAGCCAAAGAAATGAAAACGATGGTACATAGGCTGCCAGCTCACTTTGCACCTCGTTTTTGGCTTGTAAAATCGCGTAGCCTATTTATCCGTTCCTTAATTTAATGGTCGTTGAGTGTTCCTGTAGTTGTTTCTATGGAGTTTTCTGATGAAAGCTGTACTTTCATTTGTTATTCTTTTCTGTTTTTTTTTTTTTAAAGGGATGCTTTGGCAGAAATATCAGATTTACACAGGTTCCCCAGTGTTACCCCAGGTGTGGCTGATCAGCCAAAGTTTGCTTCTTCAGTAACTGTAGTAGTACAAGTAATAGAAATAGGAAAAGGTTTTGGGTTACTTTGTAGCTGTATTAGCCCTATGGTTAGTGCAAAACTAAAAAAGCAAGCTTTGGACGCCAGACATGTCTTGAGTGGTTGATTACACAGTGGTAAGGGGTAAACTGTAAATTTCATTTTTTGCCAAACTGTTCCTTTAGGTTGGAAGTATTTGCAGAACAGGGTTTTCACCGTCCAATTGCTCTTTAGCTTCTGTGGGGAGAATGAATGGGGGAAGTTGTAACAACCTAGTGCCTTCAGCACTCAATCCTTGAGCTATTTTGAATGGAAATCGACACTGATTGACAAGAGCCTACATGTCTGTCATTATTGCCATTTTAAAAAAATCAGTGGCGTTAGTCTTAAGCGAAAAATGGTGTTAAACTGAAAATTTGTTCTTTTTTTGTTTGCTGAGGAAATTTAGTCTAGTGCAATACTTGTTAATGCTCTGTGAGTTACAACCAACTGCACCTCTTATCAACCATTTGGAAACATATTGGCCTCTTGGATGTACCGTATGATAGTGACCTCAAGCAAGCTGAAGCGACTGCTGCAGTGTTTTGGTAGAAGAACTTTATTTTTGGTAGAACTACTGGATTTGCCATTGACAGTGAGGTTCTTTTTTCATGTTTTAATCTTCAGTGCTTGAAAAGAGTTACTTAAATACCTCAACATACTTTAGCATTTAGACATTTTAGATCAGGATCCATTCATTCCTACAGACGCTCCTCTGGTAGGGGCGGTGCAGTGACCTGAACTTTCTCATATAGGACAGGACTGGTCTCCTTTTTTTTAAATCAGAAAAAAATTTGTGAGTAACAATCCTCTGACTTGCTGTTACGACAGCCCCCGCTCTCTCCCCCAATAACTCATTCGAAGTTAAGTTTAAGTGAGGTGTGAAATCGCACTTTGAATATTAAAGGCTTAAAGTGGGCATGTCACTTGTAAGCGCTCTCTGACTCTCTGACTTTCACCACCTCCAACAATTTAATGACTTCAGGCCAATTTTCTAGATGCAGTTAAGCCTAGCGTTGGACTAAATTACACCATCTTTGGGGGTTCCCATTTAGTCTAGGACTTTATGTGTCTGGAGAGGTGGTCCATGTGTATGTGGGGAGAAACCTCCAAACTTCCAGCAAAAACATTCAGAATACGTTAGCACCTTATGGAACTTTGATATTGAATGTAATCTGTGTTTTTGGTAGACATGAAAGTTTGTAAATATTCTGATAAAAGTAGATCTTTAATCCGCGAGGTAAAGTGCACTTGTTCATGCCTTTTTTGTTCCTTTAACACACTCCTCACATTTTGTTTCTAATCTGTTGCCCTTTGTATTCCAATTGTAATATATATTTTCTTAAAGAAATCCTGACTGAAAGGCAAGTCATGGACTAAATGTATCTTGAATAAATGTACAAACTGCGACATAATAGCTGACTCCATAGCTACACATTTCAGTAAAATTCTTCTGAAATCTGACTTTCATTCAAGCAGCAAATGCTTCTGCAAGTCAGTGTTGAAAATCTTACGATTTCAGTAGTAGTCTGGCTAAACAGTTAAAACAACTAATGTATTTTGCCTTATTTAGTATAGCCATTAGCCACAACATGATGTAGTAACATTAGGAAAGTCCCAGTCAGCAATCACGGCAACTGTCCAGACAAGTTATTAATATTGCAGCAGCACAGGAGTTTAAATAACAAGAAAGAAAACAGTTCAACAGACATTGTGTACATATACCATGTTACTAAACTCAGAGCTGCACCTGTGGTGGCCGTGGCACAGGTCCTGCAGTTGCTGACTGGGACTTTACGTCTTGTGTAACATGCATAGTGCATGTTGCACTGCACGTGCACACAAAAGAATGCAGACGACCTTGGGACTGGAGGAATGTAAGAAGAGAAGCATTGATTTTACCACAAGATCAATGTTAACTAGACTGTAGCAAGTAACTTTCCTGTTGGAAAATACTGAGTATGTATTGTTTATAAGGGTACTGTTCCTTTACATTTGTTAGGAAGAGAATACTTTTGCATAGAACACATTTTGTAGGCCCCTTTTAGCTTTTTTGCCTCAACTGTCTCTTTGCCTAAGCAGCGGCATGTGTCATGTACATAGGTTGTGAATATGCTAAATGTCCAATGTTCATGTTGTAGAAGAAATCTATGGATTTTATAAAGGATATAACTGAGCAACTGTTGCACATTTCGTTAACGCTTTACACTATTGCTGTTCTAAATTATTGCCGCACAGTTGTCGAATAAATAAACGCTCAAAAACTACGTGAGGTCTCTTTATTTACATGTTTTTACCCCTTTTACTATACTCTCTTTCATGCATTCTAGCATCTTGGAGAAGCGTACTTCACTGACTACAACTTTGAGTGTACCTAAGTGCCTCTTTCTGTCTGCCTCTTGAGAAGCACCTGTTGTCCCAAAAGCACGGTAGAGTTACAGTCTTCTTAACTTTAAGTCAGACTGTTCAAAGAGATCACTCGAGGACTGGAGTTACACCAGAACCTGAGTGAAATCGGAGACACGTGATACACTGTTTGCATATGCCACAATGAGGGTGCGGACACTTCTAAAGGACAGATTCATGGTTCAAAAACGTTGTTCTAGTGAAAGCAGCGATCACTAAATGATTCCTGTTCCCTGTCACTGAACACCAGCTAATGGTCACTATGCTGTATATTTAATGGCGGTGAGCATAAGGGCATCCTGATAGACCCATTCCCGATTTCAGAAACAAATCAGCTGACCCGAAAGTCACTGAGTTGGAATGTACAGTAAGCCAGGGTTTAGCTCCTATCATGTGATATGAGAGGGATTAAAAAATAGACAGGATTGCTCAGTTTTCACTGCAGGGCCAAAACAACATCAATAATGCATGAGTGGTGGATTTCTGATATCTCAGCGCACTTTATAGAAACCTTACACAACATGTTTATGTGTTACAGTAAGTACAAATGAATAACATTGGCTAAAATATCAGTGGACCTGTAGAGCCAGTTTTACTGAGTTAATACAGTTACACAGTTTGGTATGTGGGTATATTATACAGGGTTATACCAGAGCCAGGAACCATGGAAATATCTGTAAGCCCCTTAAAGTTACATTGATCTCATCATTATCAATATATGTATAGTGGGTGTACCTATGACTTTACCCATTGGTATATTGATCTAATACAGGGATGTCTAAACTTCTTGTTTCAAACAAGGCCAAAGTGCAATGTTTGGGATGGGCTGAGGGCTAAGAAGACAATATAACAATAAAGGCAGTAAGTAGGTTTCAAGTCTAAGTTTATAATATTAAACTTTACTGTGTTACTAAAACACTTAAATATAAGACAATAAGAAATGAATAAGTCATATAAGGTATAAATATTGTACTTCAAATGTAAGTCAATGTAACTAGACTTTTTCCAAGTAGCTTTGGGCCATTGTTTTGTTCATAATGAATTTTACTCAAAATGTAAAGGGCAATAAGCATTGTCAAATTATGTCAAAAACTGAAAAACGACAAAAATGGAGAAAAACCACGCTGAATCACGCTTCTGTGTCTGTCAGTCTGATGGATGAGTCTGGGTTTGGCGAAAGCCAGGAGAACATTACCTGCCTGATGGCATTGTGCCAAATGTAAAATTTGGTGGAGGAGGGATAATGCTGTGGGGTTGTTTTTCAGGGGTTGGCCATAGCCAATTAGGTCCATTGAAGTGAAATGTTAATGTTTCAGCATACCAAGACATTTTGGACAATTGTATGCTTCTAACTTTGTGGGAACAGTTTGGGTAAAGCCTTTTTCTGTTCCAGCATGGCTGAGCCCCAGTGCACAAAGCAAGGTCCATAAAGGCATGGCTGGGTGTGTTTGGTGTGGAAAAACTTGACTGGCCCACACAGAGCCCTGACCTAAAACCCCATCGAACACCTTTGAGATGAACTAGAAGGGAGATTGTGAGCCAGGCCCTTTCGTCCAACATCACTGTCTGACCTCACAAATGTTTTTCTAAATGAATGGGCAAAAAGCCTCTAAGAAGAGTGGAAGCTGTTATACCTGCAAAGGGGGACCAACTCCATATTAATGGCTATGGATTTAGAATGTGATGTCCTAAAAGCTCCTGTAGGTGTAATGTGTAGGTGTCGCAATACTTTTATATAGTGTATACTTTCCATATAGTGTGTGTGTGTTTATCTGTACTGCACAGATAAACATGCAGGATGCTTATAAATCCATTCCTTTTTTACATGCTCATAATGAATTTGGTGTCTTGGTGTCACTGCTATCCAATTAAAAGATCAGAGAAATCTATCAAAAGTTTTTCTTTTACTTTCTGTTACTGAGATGTTACAGTGCCATTAAATATCTGATTTGATTTTGAAAAAAATGACAAAACTCTTCCACAGTCCCATGAGACACACACGCCCAAACAGGCAACCCTGTTTCACTCTTCATTAGCTAGACTATAGTGCCATCTAGTGGTGTAACTGCAGAAGCACATACAATTATAAATGTAAGCAGTTGTAAATAAAAGCTACAGTGCTTATAACATGGAATACACCTCGTGTTCACTTTATTAGGTGCAGCTACTGTATAGCTGTAACTACCATGCTTGATATATTTTACAGAATGTTTTGTGTTATGATACTGAAAATTTCAACTTCGATAGGACAGTTTGAAATATATTAAAATACGATACTACTTTGGACATCAAAGCCAGATAAAACTCAGGGTCTTACATTTTCCCAGATAGCGCGCATATACCGCTAGCTTAATAAAGTCGGCACCCCACTGACTGTTTGCCATTGCTGGTCCACCCTCAGACCACCCAGATTACTGTCCTGCAAACAAGCTCTAACTAGTTTTTAATCTCCCCAAGTAGATTTTAAATGCACAGAGACTTTTATTTTGGAAAATAAACTTGGACAAACATTACAAACAACTGAGAGAAAAAAAATAATTAGCTACTAGGCCTGATATAAAATGATTTTATAGACAATGTTATTGCTGACACTGAGCTAGATTGAAATTATTTACTAAACTAATTTACAAAGTATAACTAAAGAAAGGAAGGGAGGAAAACTAAGTAAACTGGACTGTAAATGTAAAATGAGTGATGAAAAGTGGAATTTTGTCTATGACTTCGCGTAACCACCGGTGGGCCGCCCGGAAAACGCTGAGCAAAACGCCAGTAGACCGCCAACTTTGCCATCAGCGGGCCGACAGTGGTCCACTATCCTCTTGCTATCAGTGTTTTTTAGATGAACATATCTAATTAAACATAATGACTACTCGCACCAAATGCAATTAAAATATAAAACACACGAAACACATCAAGCTTGTGTTTTAAAGTAACTTCAAGTTAGCTTTGCTGTCAGCACTTGCGGCGTTAAGCCCAATAATTGGTTAATAAACATTTATCAGGACGATAGTTTAATTAGACATCTTGTTAAATGTTTCAGTGATATTGAAAACAATCACCAATCTCTTAGAGCTCTCTGTACAGGTCAGTGCCAGGTGCAACAGTTTATCCTATCGGTTGAGTGGTCCTGCGGAGCATGCGCAGATCATTAGTACAGCGTAGTAACTCGGTGTTTTAAAAGCTTTACTGCGTTTTTAATGTTAGTTCAGTACAGACTCATCTTAATATTACTACTTACCCCCTGATAAACTAATTCAGGCTATCAAAATATCCCAATTCTTCTTTGGTAACATTACGGATATTTAGCTATATCACCAAACCGTCCTTACCGCAGTTTTAACACGAAGCTGAAGTCAGCTTCTCATTCACCAGCTTCTTGTTCGAAGTTTGCTGTTCCACCTTAAATGATGCAGCAGTTACAGCAGTCGCTTTAGACACTAAAACAGGGGTCATTGTCCTTTCAACAAATGCAAGCCACATTGTGAGCCAAAACATTTTATGTCCATTTTACCATCATGGCTGTAAATATGTCTCAGTATATGCTAATGTACTAGTATAGGATAAAAAAAATATAACACAGACATACTTCGCTCTGCTTTGAGCTTTAGCTCAGATTTTATCGCATCTCCTGCAGGATACTTTTATGCAAAAGTGCAATAGTTTCTGGTAAAATGTCTCTTAACGTTTGACTTTTTACGAGGCTGAAGTCATTCGCCAGCGTCCTCTTTGCATTTTCCCATTTCACCTTAAATGGCACCTGAGGCGCCAGAATGTAGCTAGCTAGCTAACTAGTTAATTGCTGCACCATTTAAGATGGAACGGGAAAATTCGAACGAGAGTTCAGCTTCACGACTTTTTAGTGTTTGACAGATTAAACCTATAAGGAAACCTGATGAGTTCTTATAAATGCAAAGTCCGTTTTCCAAACTATCCAAATTATCGATGTTCGTCTTAAATCTCTCTCTTCGCCGTTTCGTGAGCTGCTATCTAGGCAAGATTTTGTCTGCATTGCTGTGGTGACCAATCTTCAGGGTTAAAGGTGGGTGAATTAGCAGTTGTAGGCTACATTTACTCCAGCGTGTTGCCGAGCCCTGTACTAGAATGTAAATGCTGCACTATTTAAGGTGGAATGGGAAGATTCGAACAAGAAGCCGAATACGAAGACAACTTCGGCCTCGTAGGTTTAATGCTGGTAGCAATTTTGATAAGTTTATTTAAGCTATCAAAATATCCTACCTAGAGGTTTATGTAGACAGCCTATAAACCTATAAATATGCACTACAGTAGGACATTTCTACAAGGGAGCACAATGTCAATGAACAAAAATCTATTCAGTGAACAGTGTTTTATTCACGATTTTATTTCAGCTTCACAGTATTAACGACACCGCAAAACATGACAAAAGTTGGCATATGTTGGAATCCTTCAGCACATCCTCAGTGAAAACATTCCTTCATTTCAGTACCTCCTGGGTGTATCCTTGATGCCATCTTATTAATTTAAACCCTAAGAGCCCAAATGTGGACCCAGGCTCCAATTTCTGACTCATGCGTTACGAACGAACACAGAACAATGAAACGTACATATTGGTTTAGTAGTTACTGACTATTTGATAGTAATTACTGAGCAATAAACTTTACATTAAACATTAAAAACAGAATAATAATCAGGTTTAGGCCCAGTCCATGGCTGTATTAGCATAAGAAACTCTTTAGAGCAATGAGGAATTGAGTTAACATAGACTTCAGCAGAGATGCCTAGAAATCATGACATATTTTGTGCTGCATTCATTTCATTCACAGATTAATATTTCAAAACTGTAACATTTGATTTGTTATGTTCAAACTGGACTCTGGGATGC